GTAGTATAAAATTGTAGCTTTTTTTTTTTAATTTCACCGACAAAGTTGATGGAGACACGATGTTTCAAAGAGCCCGTGCATATTACGTAATCACAGTTCAACTGAATAAAAGGTTTTTTTTTACGATTTTAAGCCTCATAATATTTGGAAGGATAATTAATGAAGTGCATTAACAAGTGTTTTCTTTTAAATAATGCGAAAATAATATGCAAATTGTGATTGTGCGAATTCAGAAATATTATTAATTTATTTTCCACGAGTATAATCATAAGCACAATGTGGGCATAGATTTTTTCGTTACGCGATCTTATTATAATTTGTGATAATTTCGTTATAACAAGCCATTTAATTAATTAACCTCGCATCGCGCTAATAATGATAATACTATAATGCGACGAAAAGTTTAAACGCATAATATTGTAAGAATTTCAGTGAATCCAATGTAAAATCTTATTGGTATTTTAATATGTTATTAAAAAATTGTATAGAATGTGAGTGTGCTAATATTATATACCAATGATTTTGAAATTATAATACATTTTATTGTACTGAAACAATATTTAATTGATATAATAAAGCTTTGTGATATAGTTAATCTATAACAATAATCTTAAAATATAATGAATCAAAAGGTTGCAAGATTTTAAAGTAACTGATAATTCCATCAATATATATATATATATATTATTATTATTATTATTATTATTATTATTATTATTATTATGTTAAAATATAGGAAAGAGATGATAAGGCTATATAAGCAAAAGTTAAAACATGGATTTGATGAAAAATATGAATCCTTCTTCATCCAAATCTTTCTTATTACCTTAGAGTGCTCGTTGTTTTGTTGTGATACGTATTATTATTCTATGAATGTATTATAATAGAAAAAAATCATATTAAATCTAATAAATTAGTTCAGGTATATCAGCGATACGGATTCTTCAGAAGAAAGTTTAATTGAGAAAGTTTAATGCATCACTATTCTGATGCATTAGAGATATTATAATGCATAAGTTAAGCACACAAGATATTTTCATAATAATTCCTATTAGACGATAATTATCTAATCTATGAAGTGTAAAAACTCATATATAAATCATTAATATATACAAATAAACGCTAGAATTATTATTAGTCAAATAATATTGTCAAGATTACTTTCACTTTTATATTTCCGATAAAATATTAATATATGTATGAATATTTCTATATATGAGATCTTCCTAAAACGTTTTTGTAATATATTTTACCCTTTGGTACTGACAAATTAATAAACTAAAAAATGTTAAATCTCTGTTATTCATAGAAAGCCAAACAGTTTTGCAATAGACTATAATTATTAAACAAATTAAGCATAATGGAATTTAGTTGTCGGAATGAAAAAAAAAGAAGAAGATCAAATTATATTTTCATACGCTACCATATTCCTTTGGCATAATGACACTAGAAAGGTAAAAGGTTTAATATTTTTTTCTAATTAAAAATTTCTGCAACTACTTGTACTTAAGTCTCATCAGCAGACTTATTGTACAATATTTTCCCCTTACATTGCATAAGCTTATATGGCGCTATGTTTCTCTAATGTGCGTGCGAATGTATGGTATTATATAGTTTGCAAACACCAGCTAAATGAATAAACAAACTATAGTTTTCAATTTTCTTTTAATGATACAGCAAAATTATGGAATGAAATAAATGTACTCTCAATTAATAAAAAAAAAAAAAAATAAAAAAAAAGAAAAACATAGGGAATGTTGTTTATTATGTAAAAGGGGATAGTTAATGAATAAATAGAATAAAATAATAAAACTTTTTAGTATAATTAACAAAATAAAAGAGATTCTATACAGTATATAATAAATTTAAGAATATTTTTTATGATGAACTGTTATTAGACAAATAAGCATCACATTTATAAATTATACTTATATCCTGTTCATCAATAGTAAGATGAAAGAACTCAATTTCGAAATATAAATTTAATCTGAAATTTTAATAGATTTTTTCATATTTTACAACGCCTATTTTTAACATTGATTTCATTATTTTTACAACCAATGCTTTTAACATACTCCCAGAATGCTAGTAATGACAAATTTTTCATTAATTATCTTGGAGTATTAAAGGAAATTTCTAATTGCCAAAAAATGTTATATATATATATATATATATATATATGTTTAGCTATTACAAAGTTTTGCGTCATTACGTTTGCTTTAGATTATTAAATTTCAAGATAATTTAAAAGAATGTTTATATTTCCTGTATCTGTATACATACACCTTCATAAAATCACGAGCTTAAGAAAGTACAAATTCTTTACGTGACTCTTCTCTTGCCACTTATTTCTTTTATTTCGCCTATAGCAAGACATGAAATTTATCGAAGAAGGCTGCTGACATTACATCAGTTAATTATCAGTAATGGTGCATCCAAAGGGAAAAAAATAAAAATTATTAGCTACGAGAGCAAAGACCAGAAGCAGGTAAGCTTAATTGGTAAATGGAGGAGGCATTGTTGATGATTAGGAGAAGGTGATGGAGACGGAAAGAAGCAGATGTCGTTTCAACTTAAGCTACCATAGGCCTGATTGATACAGTCAACCTGATTAAATTCACACGAGAGAATTTCTAATTCTATCTATATACCAAATAAATACCAAAATCAATGGATTTATTGTTCATTTTCTTGGATTTATTGATATTTCTCACTAGATATCAATAACGACAATAATCATAATCCGCCCCTTTAGTTAGAAGTTTGTTCTAATATATGAAAAGAATGTACAAATTGAACGGAACAAAAGCAAACGATAATTAAATAAAAGAGCCGATGAGTTAAGCGAGAGAAAGTACTGAAATAGATGCTGTTCCGCTGTTAGGTGGTGAAAAGCCAAGCTTCACCATCGTTGAAACTATTTTCTTCCTCACTCGCAATACTGCCAAGCCTGATAAAGAAAAATAAAGTTCTCTCGAGTAACGACACATGCGCTGACGTTGCGGATATTAGCTTCTGGCACGAAACAAAAGAAAAAATCGTTAGAAAAAATAAAAGGTGTGTACTTTATCAGAACTAGAATGATGCACAAACTTCCTCCTTACCTTCGCTCCTTTTATTCTGAGTGTACCAAATGAGTGAAGAAAACAAACTGAAGCTCATGAGTGCCAAATTTAATTAAATGGCTGGATATTCTTGTCACGATTGAATTAATGATCATGTGACGTAGCAATGACGATTTTCAGCCAGGATATTCCCTTGTTAAAAACGCGACTACCGCAGAATGACGCATGTCGTTGATTCAATTTTAATTTACCTTTTCCTAGTCATTTATTATGCTCTCTATAATGAGTTATTGGATAGAAAAAGTGATGGATGCTCCGTGCATTATTAATTAAATAGAAGAAACTAGTTGAAATATATACGTAGTAGGTAAATGTGACAATGATAAGTATGATAACAATTTTTATTTATATAAAAATTAAATTATTTATATATATATATATATATATATATATATATATATATATATAACTGTAGTCATTACTTTTGACAATTGTTAGTAGATTTTATTAAGTTACAATATTCCTGTGTATACTTGTATATCTCAATACGCGCGAAAATTTTCTATTATAAATTTTGATTTGAATATAATTAATTTTATATCGTTTGATTATTTTCTCCAATTTACATTAATTACCTTTAAATAAATCATAAACTATTTTCTATCCATTGTGTTTCAAATAACAATCAGTATATTGATTAAATAAAACAATTCACTAGCAATTCTATTATGTATAACACGAACGTTATATTAAATTTATTTCACATTTTTTTCATGTAAAAGTTACGTTATTAAAATTAACATAAAGTAAATTAATTATTAATAGATGATATTTAAGTAAAATATTTTTTCTTGTTGTTGATGATTTTAACGCTACGATGTAGTCGAGTAAATGCGATAAAAGAAATACAATATCCGTAGGTCTATTATAATTTTGAGAATATAAAAGTTCGATCCATCCAACTTTCTTAGCAACAACAAGAGAAATAAAGTTTATTGTTAAGTATTACTTTTCTTAAACGTTTTTTGCCTTTTCCTTCTCCCATTCGATGCTCACTATTTCTCAACTTGCTTACAATCTACATGTGTGTGTGTGTGTGCGTGCGCGCGTGCCCGCGCTCGCGTGTGTTTTTTTTGTTCCCACCGGGCATCATCTTACTCTTCCACTTTCTATTTCTTGAGCGTATGAGTCTTTAACTTTTACAAGTTAAAAGTTTATCTATAAAATGATATATATATATAAAAAAAAAAAAAAAACCAATGACTGCGGCCAGAGACAATCGAGAAAACTCGAGAATCGTTTTAAAAAATCTACAAAAATTACAATCTTCAATTTTTTTATAGTATACATTATTATTATTGGCTTAGTCTAAAGTATTTATATGGTTGTTATTTTATGAAATTACATATCCAATCTAAACAAGCTTTAAGACTGAGAAAGCAACTTATATATATATATATATATCAGAAAATACACATAACTGATTCAAAAGATAATATATTAATAAAAAAATTAACAGTTCTCTTTAATCGTAAATGGTTCTTCAAATTATGTAGCAGTTTGATTGCAAACATTTATAACACGAAATTATGATAAAATCATAGTCCAAGATGTTACTGTGTAACAAAGTCAATTCATACACTTATTATTTTTATGTAATTTTCTTGTCGATATAAAGTCACATTATATATTATAAAATTATTAAATATAATTCCTTAAAAGTTAATTAAAAGACTCGCTAATTATAATAAAATCTGTAATTAATTATAAGTTTTCAGCTCATTATCAATAAATATATTACGCAATTTCATAATAATTGAATTAATTTTTCAGAGAACCAATACTCTCATACCAATATGTTTATCGGATATATTGCATAATGAAATTTATATTTTCAATATAAATTTGACTTTTAACATTTTATTCTCTTTATAGAATGAAGATGAAGTGGTCATTGATGCTTACGTGCTTTCTACTCCCGCATTCATGTATTTTTGGTGCATCAGGTTCACGTACGTATAATCTACACATACATGTCCACACTTACATTAATCATTATATATCAATTTGTATATTTAAATTATTTATGAATTAATTTACTAAGCATTCTTTAAAGCTGTACACGTCATGTGATCATTAATCAATCATATTTTCTCTTGCTTTTAACAATATTATTATATTGTCAGTAGGCGGACGACGGCACTTCAATTCATTCATTTTTATCTATATGATTAAAAATAAGATTTAAAAATTTTTGTAAGTACGCGTGCAATAAATAAAATAGATTCTTAGCAATTTATTATTTTTCAAAAATTCGATTATAAATTAATTTTTTAATGTATTTGTGATATTTATTTTTTAATTTGTAAAATTAATTTTATCATTAAAATATATTTCACTGGCTCACATTTTTTCCAATTCTACATTTTATATATTTTAAATTCTGATCGTTCGTCATCGGATTATTTTCATGTAATTTATCATTCAAAATCATGTTAGTTATAGTTGCGCATTCAGGATTGGCTCGGAATAATTTAATTAAGTTTTCCTCGACGGATCTCTTAACAAAAGACCGACCTGACAGTATGAAATGATTGTCAAGACGATATCACTTGACCATTGCAATGGACGCAATGTATTATATTATCAAATAAGCATTATAATTAAGGAAACTTGTTGACAAAATGTTGTATAAGCCATGATTATTTTCAAACATGTAAATCATCGATTTTATAACAATTCAGAATAATTTACAATATTAATATTGTAAGTGATAACTCAATTATATTTCATTAAAATATATTGTTAGAATATAAATATATAAATTATTAAAGGATAAAAATTTTTAAAAAAAAAGTATGTATTAATAGCATGCATATTATTTATAAAAATTATGAAAATAATGTACTTATATTATAAAGTATAGAAAAACTTTATGAAATTAATGGAAACAGCTACTTGTAGAACTCATTTTGTCTTAAACGTTTTTTTCTTTTTTTTTTCTTTCTTTTTTTTTTTTTTTTTTTTTAAGTAAAATTCGCTTTCCAAGTATAATAATGCAAAGATTATATCGAAACTCTTGCATTGATCATTTGACAACTACAAAACTGGAACAGGACATGTAATACATGTATTGTAAGCAAAAAGTTTTAACATTTGTTTTAATATAAGTTTTCTCAAAAGTTCTTTCTTCTTTATATTCACAACTTTTAAATCGAGGCCTGGATCGACTTGAAATATTTTTTTTTTTAAATATATTAAATGTGTCAATATCGCGTTAAACCCAAATAAATCTGTTAATAGTTTCTTTACAAAATAATATTTATAAAATATAGGAAAGTATAAGTAACTAAGTCTTAACACCATAAGAGCAGAATTATAATTCAATTAAAATGCAAAGTTAATGTTGTTCAAGCTTTGAATATACAACATATTAATTTTTTTTATATATAGCTGATAATTTTTTTAAAAAATATTTATAATATTCTAAGGAATTTATAAATAATCTAATATATCTGTACTATAATTACTTTATTTACTGTTTCATTAAAAAAGTTTTTCATAAAAATCGAATGCTAAACATAAAATATATAATGTGAACTTTACATGAATTAATTTTATATCTATAAATAGTTTTTAAATATTATACAAGATATATTATAGATATATTATAGTATTATATTACATACTATTATCAGAGACAGTATTTATCTCTAATACTACATTATAAAAATTACATTACTGTATTCGATCATTCTACGATTATTTTATATTATGATATTGTAATCATCATAATGTAATTGTGTAAGGCTCATTTTTATCTAACATTAGGGGTTATAATTTGAAATTCATTAAAATTAATTTGTTAAAAGTCAGTTATCAATTGTAGTTTTAATGACTTTCTAATGTTTTTCCATAACAAGTCTTTGTAAACATATTATTTCAATATATACATATATGTGTATATTATATAGAGTTTTCTCCGTCTATAATTTTGCACATTATAAAGATGAGGAATAATCGATCGATGTTCATTTTATGCTGATGAAATTTCAATTTAACTATAATTAATTGACAAACAGCGAAAGCTTAACATTCCATTCATAATAATGTGATGGAATTTTCTGAACTCATTTCTGGTAAAAAGACAATTTTCATTAATTACGGCAGCTGTCAATTTACTTTAAACGATCGAAAAATTGCCGACAACTAGCAACCGATTTAAAAACGCATTAACAAAGGACTAGCAAACGAGGAAACTAAATCGCTTCTACTCCTCTTCGGATAGAAGCGTCTTTCACGAATGCTGAGAAACGCCGACGATTGTCTTGAAAGTTATAAAAAGAAATTAGGCGATCCCCAGTGGCACGCGATTAGGTACTTGGAGTAAGAGGTACCGTCCGCTCGAGATTTCGAACTCCTTTCCCAGTCCACTTTTCGATTCCTCTTCGTTAGCTCGGCACGACCCTCCCTTTCACTTTTTCTCCTTCCCTCTACTTATCGGTTTGTACGCTCTTTTCTTCCAACTCTCATTCCCGCACTCTCTCACTCTCTCACTCTCTCTCTCTCTCTCTCTCTCGCTCTCTCTCTCGCTCTCTCTTTTACATTCTTTATAAACACTATTGTGAGAAAGTCGGGAATATGCTCGCTTGATATTCATATTGACAAAGACAAATACATTCGACTAATTATCTCATTCAACTACATCATAATATTCTTTAGTCCTGAATATTCATTATACCTATTAATTTCATATTTATAAATATTCGATATATAATTGAGAGGTTAAAATTGCTTTTTAATGAATTTACCCTCGATTATTTGAACAACAATCAATGCCGAAATGAGAGCAAAATTTCTTTCTCTCGAACATGGAATATTCATTTTAGAGATGAAAAGTTTGCTGCATCCGCTGGACTTCATTAAATTAAACTCGTATACAATCATCCGGATCAAAAGACCGGCTGTAACAAATAATTACCGAAATCCTGTAAAAATATTCCCATGTATTTTAGTTTTGCTCTCCTTCCTTTCGATATTTCTATAATGAAAGAAGCGCCAATGGGCAATAAAAATTTATAAAAAGCTTATTATGCTATCTCAATCGCGTTTACTAATATATATATATATATATATATATATATTGAAAAGTACTTTACACTCACTTAGCACACTCACCATATCCTTTAATTAATATTAAATTTAATTTACATTAATTACATTACACTAAATTAATTTACAATTGAATTTTTCTTTATTCATCTTTTACTCGTTCGCTAAATAACGTTTAATTGTATCGAATTTTTTATTTCATCAAATATTTCATTTCCATGATACATTTATTGCACACTAAGATTCATGAGTTTATATTGTAAATTATATATTTCACGTATTTTTTACTTCTTTTTTCTATTATTTGCAAATTAATTAACTTTTGTGGAAAAGATCCTACGGTTGATTTGTACCCAATGGCTTCCTCCAAATCTTAGGGTGTAACATACGATTACTGTACAATATACTTCCTTAAATTTCTTTCTCTCTCTCTCTCTCTCTCTCTCGGTATCTACGACCCTGTCGGCTTATATATCTTTACTGACGACTACGTTCGATCGATGCAAAATGAAGCGTACGCAAATCAGAAAATATAACGTCCAATGTATCAAAACATTTTTCTACGCTTGTACGTTTGATACGAGCAACGGGCATTTCATTAATTTATATTTGACGAAAATTTATATCGAATATGGTAATTAGTGAAATCCTCCAGCTAATTAACCGAGTCAATTTATCCAGCGATTTGTCGCCTAATAACCAGTATTTAGTTCAATAAATAGAATAAGAGAAAGCAGAACAAACAAAGAAAGACAAAGAGTCAGGGAGATAGAGAGTGAGAGCTTCGCTTAAGTTTCACCGGGTTGAGTTTCATGGTGGCTCCTGCATTGAAATTATAGGAGTTGCTTGTGCGTTAGACCGATTGTTATCAAACCAGCCAACTATGTACCATAGATATACACATCGATAAAGAAAGAAATATTAAATAAGAATAGATTGAAAGTGTTTGGTGTAGAGAATTTAAGATAATTTACTTTGATGCAACTTAATTCATAATATAAAAATCCGGTCTCACTATTGTTAATTATTTATAATTTAATTAATGAGCGAACATTCATTAAAAACTTTGCTATATTCATAGATTTTTTCCACCATTTGTTTCTCTTCAATTCCTTAGTTACAGTGATATGTTGAAAAACAATGTAATTTTCCATTTTCATTGATATTTGTAAGTACGATAAATATGGAAAATCTATGATAAATTGAACCATAATTTTTTCTTCTTTTCTTTTTTGCTATATTACCGTACATTACACTAATAATAAATATTTTTCCAATTATAATTTATGTTCACGTAAATGCAGATGTGTAGAAATGCTTTTGTACATAGTCCTGCGCGCACACGTTTTTATGCAGTAGTAATCAATATTTTAATAATATCCTGCAACATGCCTCATAATAAATCAAATCTTATATATGTTGAAATATAACCGTAAACACTATAAAACACTGTAACATAAACAAAATAGTAATAATAATAATAATAATAATAATTATGATGATGATGATGATGATGATGATGATGATGATGATGATGATGATGATGATGATGATGATGATGATGATGATGATGATGATGATGATGATGATGATGATGATGATGATGATGATGATGATGATGATGATGATGATGATGATGATGATGATGATGATGATGATGATGATGATGATGATGATGATGATGATGATGATGATGATGATGATGATGATGATGATGATGATGATGATGATGATGATGATGATGATGATGATGATGATGATGATGATGATGATGATGATGATGATGATGATGATGATGATGATGATGATGATGATGATGATGATGATGATGATGATGATGATGATGATGATGATGATGATGATGATGATGATGATGATGATGATGATGATGATGATGATG